CTCCTCCTCCTTCTCCTGCTCCTCCTCCTCCTCCTCCTCCTCCTCCTCCTCCCCCTAGTGTCTTGTCTGGTTTTGTTATCAGGGTGATGCTGGCTTCATAGGATGAATTTGGAAGCATTCCTTCCTCTTCTATTTTTAGAACACTTTGATCCTATGGCCTTTTTCTTTTATTACAGGTACTTAAAAATTTTTAATTTGTGTATATTTTTCCCCAAGAGTAGGGACTAAAGCCATTTAAATGAGAAAAAAATAATGGCTTTTTATTACCTACTTCTAAGCCAAGATAAAGGCACGGTGACTTCTATTTTATTGACAAGGTAAGGAAGTGAACAGATAGTAGCAATTTTGATTCAAATCGATTAATAAGTCAGTGGTGTTGTAAGTATAGGCCCCAAATCTTATTTTATATCAGGTGTCGCCTATTGCTATATCTCCAAATTAAAACAAAACCAAAAAAGGCACCTCAAAGCATCAAGTAAAAATGACTCCATTTACTTATTCTCTCAATTAATGAAGAAATATAATTTAGAAAACTTTGATTTATCTTAGTTACAATTTCCATTCAAGATACCAGCTAGGAAGAGAAAGAATTTTGATTCCAATCATTTTGGAACAAGAAGATATTATATAAAATGCTGTCTGTTTGTTTTCAGCCTAATAAAGAGGAGGAATCTAAGAGAGAACAGACTGGTGATTGCCAGAGGTAAAGGGTGAAGGATGTCCAAAGGAAGAAAATTTTACTTCTAAAATGAATAAATCCTGGGAATATAATGTGTAGCATGATGGCTATAGTTAATAATACTGCATTGTATATGTGAAAGGTGCTAAGACAGTAGATTATAAAAGTTCTCATCACAAGAAAAAATAAGTCTGTAACTCTAAAGTGACAGATGTGAACTAGACTTATTGTGATGATCACAATGTCTATAAATATTGAATCACTACTTGTACACCTGAAACTAATGTAATTTTTGATGTCAGTTATATCTCAATAAAAAAGAAGAGAAATCTAACCCCATAATAACAAAAACACCCTCGTTCCATCCTAGAATAGCAAATTCAATATTTTCTTCAAAATACAACAGCCACTTTTTGGTCATGTTTCCTTTTCTCTCCTCTTTCTGGTAAGTCTTCGGAATGATAAACAACTCCACCCAGGAACTAGACAAGATTGGAGTCAATCTGGAATTTGAGTTCTTTTTCATTGGGTATAAAAAATCTTACTCTCTAGTTGTGCTAAATATCTGGAAAGGAATAAAAAGCTCAGAAAAAAAATCCACTATTTCCAACAACTAATCATTACATGGTGTAGAGACAATGTCTCAAAGTGACTGATTTCACTTTTCTCTAACTCTTCTAGAGGTTGTCTGACTCTGTTTCAAAGATGAATCTACATTATTAAAATGGAAGAAAGTCAAGTTTTCTCTAAAGGATGATATCCTGTCTCACAAGAAGAATCTGAGGAAAATCTATGGTACGTTATTCGTATCTTTTAAAATTTATATTTGCATTTTATTAAAATTATGAAATTTTATGGTTTACTAACCATGTCCTCTTCAGATCTCCCTCATGGTTCTAATATTTTATGAAAAGCTATTTATTTCTGCATTGTGTGATTTATTTTCCCTTCTTGGCCCATAAACAAAGTTTGAATAGAGAAAACATCATATCTAGATCCCTGGGTGTCTTGAGCCACACATCTCCCCTCTAAGTTTCAGCAACTCTCAAATTCAATTCAACAAATATTATACATTTATTATATCCTAGGCCCTGCTGCTAGTTCTTTTGGTAGCACAGTGTATAAGTCATCGAGCTTATTCTAAGTAGTTTAGCGTCGAGGCAGAAAAATGTGTATGCACCAAATATTACACAGATCAGCTGTAAAGAGTATTATTGTTGGTTTGCAAATAAGAGGAGGAAAGAAAAAAGAATGAACTCAACTGCAGAGATCAACAGAGACCCCAGAAAGTGACAATTGACCTCGGCCAGGACAGTGTAAAAATACACAAAGTCCAACATATAGAAACTTTATACATTAAGAGAAATTTTCTAATTTAAAATGAGAAATTAGCACTTAGAATGTTCTAGTCACTCTCCTGTGATTCCCACTGAACAGTGTAGCTCTCTCTATTCTGGCAGGTTGCCTTGTAAAAGACTTGGTTCAAGGTATGTCGCTTGTAACAGCCAGAGGGGGCCTTCTAGTGGGATCACAACCGTTGTCAGCTTTCAATTCCCAGTATTCCAGTGAGCCCTCAACATTGTAGACAAAATTTCTTAAAGGAGTGAATGAACTAAATATTTCAGTAGTACACTGCGGAGGGAGTGAAACGTTCTAATTTATCTCTTCTTACAAGTTGATTCTTTTGGATTTTGAGTCCCCAGATAGCCTAGGTCTGGTACAGATTTTATTTTTTCCCAGGGGCTACACTTGGTCCCCTCTGTAGCCAGATCAGCTAAGGGAAGAGTGGGCACAGCGTGTATCCTTAGTGATCACGGTTGTCATTGTTTCCAAGTTTTGAGATTTTACAGGAGGCAGACACACACCCACACCCACCCACACACGTACACACCCCTTTCTGTGATACACAAAGATGCTAGCTAGCATGGTCACGCAACATACAATAATAGCAAAGGTTGAAATGGAGACCACAAAAGTTAGCTGGGATGTGAAACCTGATGAGACGATATGGTCTGAAGTAGGCAAAATGTGAAATCAAGACAGTCAAGACATTTGTCCTGGCTCCCTGCAAGAAGGACCGCCTCCTATCACTTCACAAGGTATGCGGGAATTTGCTTATCTTTTCAACTTTAGTACTTTTATTACTTACGTTTAGGTCTATGTGTGCTTACCAGAAAATTAGCATTTTACCCTTAGATGGCTGATAAGCCACTAAATGGAGCCCCTTCCTAAGTGTGATTTTCATTCTTATGTTTTATTTTCCAAAGCATATGCCCCATTTCACAGTGGCAGGTAATGGCAGGATGGTATTCAAGGTCCTAAAAACTCTGTTTGGTAGTTACAGATATTATAGAAAATACATAATTTCCATTTAAGGTGGAAAGAATCCATGACAGTCATCAGATAAATGAGAATTCATGTATAATATTTAAGAATTCAAGGACATCTATTAGGGAAAAACCAATAAAGATTCTACTTAATCCTGCCACAGTCTGACCCCTTGCAACCTCATGAGTGTTTGACGAAGCCTTGGCTTCACCAGGCAGCTTATTAGAAACTAATTCTCAGGCCCTACCTAGACCTGTGAATCAGAATTTGCATTTTAACAAATCCCCCGTGGGATCTGTGTGCACATTAAAGTTTTAGAAGCAGACGTTAACCAATCATAGGGCTTCATGGAAATTCCATGAATAGAAATTACTCCATCAATCTTTTTTTTTTTTAATTTTTTTTTTTCAACGTTTATTTATTTTTGGGACAGAGAGAGACAGAGCATGAACGGGGGAGGGGCAGAGAGAGAGGGAGACACAGAATCGGAAACAGGCTCCAGGCTCTGAGCCATCAGCCCAGAGCCCGACGCGGGGCTCGAACTCACGGACCGCGAGATCATGACCTGGCTGAAGTCGGACGCTTAACCGACTGCGCCACCCAGGCGCCCCTCCATCAATCTTTAATTTAGGTTGGGTTTCCTTTCAAAGATCTACAGACCCAAATGTTAATTATTTTCAGTGACTTGACTAAGTTTACATTAAGATACATTCTTGGAATTTGGCGCCCTCCCTATATTTAATTTTACATCCAATCCAACGATTCTGTGTGGTGTAGACTCCCTCTCCTCCTTTCCACTGGAGAACCAGGTATGCATGGGGAGAAAGGGATCAGTGATTTGAATTAGGGAAGTATATGGAAGACTGACAACTGTTTGTTGTACGGTGGGGATTTTAACTCACTGTTACCATATTGGTTTCTTCTCAAAGGACTGTCTTAGGCTTCAACCAATAGAGTCATTCTGCAAAGGAAAATCCCTATACTCCTGACAAGTTTTTGCGAATCACATGCCAAGTGAGTTAGATTAATTAGGCATTTCTTTGCTTCAGTTCCTTTCTCCCACCATTGTTTCACTCCATATTTGTGACCTTGAGAAGCTAAGGAGAGGTCACGTCCTATGCAACTGGAAATATGGTTGCAGATGTCCCCCACTAGATAGCTAACAACCAGAGGAAAAGATGCCTGTCCTTTCCTAAACTTGGGTTTCATTAAGATAAGTGACCTCTCCTTTGCCTCAAAAGGGAACATGTCTTGCAGTGACCCTGTCTCATAAGAGTGAGCCTGCTTGGTGGGCATTGATGGTGACATTGGTGATAACAATGAGGATGTGTGGGGAAAAAGAAAAAAAATGCTATATCAACTCTTAAGGCAAAAAAAACCAAGTGGCATACCCAAGTTGCATCCCAGGCATCCTTCTTCACAAGGCACACACTCTCCATAGTCTGGGTCTTGGACTTCACCTGTACAAGAAGAGGGAGAAACACGATTCACTTTAGTGTTGGAGAAACATTAATTGCTGTGAAAATATATTGGTGTGTAGCTTATTTTCTGCCCCTTCTCTTTTCTCGGCGACAAAAAATTGTGATTCTTTTAGCTGTTTCTTTTAGTTTTTACCTCCAAATTTCTAAATAACATGATTATGATGCTGCCTTGTGAGTTTATTCTTAGGCACTACCTGTAGTAGTAAAGAGTAGCTTTCATGGGGCGCCTGGGTGGCGCAGTCGGTTAAGCGTCCGACTTCAGCCAGGTCACGATCTCGCGGTCCGTGAGTTTGAGCCCCGCGTCAGGCTCTGGGCTGATGGCTCAGAGCCTGGAGCCTGCTTCCGATTCTGCGTCTCCCTCTCTCTCTGCCCCTCCCCCGTTCATGCTCTGTCTCTCTCTGTCCCAAAAATAAATAAACGTTGAAAAAAAAAAAAAGAGTAGCTTTCTTTCTCCAATACTCCAACAAACACAGACATACGTTCCATCCTCCCGAGTTACAGATTTTGCTAGATTAATACTCAGCATTTATATTATGATTATATTATTATTGTTCACGTTCTGATGACATTGAGGTTCTTTTTTTAAAAAATTTTTAACATTTATTTATTTTTGAGAGACAGAGCATGAGCGGGGGAGGGGCAGAAAGAGAAGGAGACACAGAATCTGAAGAAGGCTCCAGGCTCTGAGCAGGCAGCACAGAGCCCAACGCTAACGCTGGGATCATGACCTGAGCTGAAGTCGGATGCTTAACTGACTGAGCCACCCAGGTGCCCCAACATTAAGGTTCTTGCACACCTTTTTGTTTTCTCTTGTGCTCATATCTGTCTGGCTTCTTTGTTTGTTTTCTCAATATCTGTCCTTGATGCGTCCTCAACTGTACCCTAAGTAGAAATCTTCCCGCTAACGCATTAGTTATCTTTTTCACCATCGTCCTGAAGATTCCTTTCATCCTCCTCCTTTGGATGGATTTTCTGGACCTTATATTTTCTTATTTCTTGTCCTATTTTTTTGGTGGAATACACCCTCTACAAATCATTTTCCCAAGAAAGGATGGATGCATGGGAGGTAAAGTTTTCGATAACTTGCGCGATTGAAAATAACGTTTTTTTCTGCCCTCACACGTGACTCATGGCTTGACTGAATTTAGGCTTTAAAAGAGAAATACTTTCTTTTCTCAGAAGTTTAAAGTTTTTGTTCCATTTTTATGTTTCAGTTTCCAGGATCGTTGAGAAGTTCCAAGCCATTCTGATAGCCAATCCTTTTTTGTATGATCTCCTTTATTTTCCCCTGGAAGTTTTCAAGATTTTCCTCTTGCAGAAAAAAAAAAAAAAATCTCAGATTTCCAGATTCTTACAATCACGTGTCTTGTTGTGTGTCCTTTTAAAATCCATTATACTGAACATGCAGCGGGCTTGTTCAATCTGGAAATTCATGTCCTTCCGTTCTGGGATTTTTCGGAATTAGTTCTTTGTTAATGTTCTCTCTCCTGTTTCTGCTGTTTACTCTGAAAAGCCTATATTATTTGGTTTTTTTTGTTTCTTTCAAGTTTTTATTTAAATTCTAATTAGTTAACATGTAGTGTAATATTGGTTTCTGGAGGAGAATTTAGTGATTCATCACTTATATCTAACACCCAGTGCTCACCACAACAAATGGCACCCTCAATGTCCATCACCCATCTAGCCCATCCCCCCCACCCCCCCATCAACTCTCAGTTTGTTCTCTATCATTAAGAGTCTTTTACGGGAAAACCTATATTATTTGAAATTCCTGGGTGATCCATTATTTTTCTTCCCTCGTCTCCCTTTTCTACTTTTACTTTTTCTTTTGGTTCTACTGTGTCAGTGACTTCAAAATTTTTATCTTTCTACCTCTCTTCTTCATTCTCATTCTCCCATAATTTTTTTTCAAAACAATTTCCAAGATCATATTTTTATTTTCTGAATATTCTTTTTTTAAATGTACCTTTAAGGGGCGCCTGGGTGGCGTAGTCGGTTAAGCGTCCGACTTCAGCCAGGTCACGATCTCGCGGTCCGTGAGTTCGAGCCCCGCGTCGGGCTCTGGGCTGATGGCTCGGAGCCTGGAGCCTGTTTCTGATTCTGTGTCTCCCTCTCTCTCTGCCCCTCCCCCGTTTATGCTCTGTCTCTCTCTGTCCCAAAAATAAATAAACATTGAAAAAAAAAATTTAAAAAAAAATGTACCTTTAAAATGATGTGTTTCAAGTATACATTGTAATTTGCTCTCTGTATATACTACAAAGTGATCATCCCGCAAAATCTAGTTACCATCCATCACCCTACAATTGGTCCCCTTCAGCCCTTCTCCCACCCCCAAGCCCCCTTCCCTCTGTTAATACCAATCTGTTCTCTGCATCCCTGAGTTCGTTTGTTTTGTTTCTCAGATTCTACATATGCGTGAAATCATGGGGTATTTGTCTTTCTCCTGAGTTATTCCACTTAGCATAATACTCTCATGGTCCATCCGTATTGTAAATGGCAAGATTTCATTCTTTTAAAAAATGGATCAACTTTATCCATTCATCCCTTGATGAACATGTAGCTTGTTTCAGTTTCTTGGCTATTGTAAATAATGCTGTGATCGACATAGAGAGGCGTATGTCTTTTCAAATTAGCGTTTTCATATTTTTTCGGGTAAAAACCCAGTAGTGGAGTAGTGGGATCAAATGGTAGTTTTATTTTTAATTTTTTGAGGAATATGCATATGTTTTCCACAGTGACTATGTCAATTTACATTCCTGCCAACAGTGTATGAGAGTTCCCATTTCTCTACGTTTTCTCCAACACTTGTTATTTCTTGTCTTTTTGATAATAGCCATTCTAACAGGTGTGAGGTGATATCTCATCGTGGCTTTGATTTGTGTTTCCCTAAAAATTAGTGATGCTGAACATCTTTTAATGTGCTCGTTGGCCATGAATAAAAGTATTTTTATTTATTTATTTATTTATTTATTAAAAAAAATTTTTTTTCAACGTTTATTTATTTTTGGGACAGAGACAGAGCATGAACGGGGGAGGGCAGAGAGAGAGAGGGAGACACAGAATCAGAAACAGGCTCCAGGCTCTGAGCCATCAGCCATCAGCCCAGAGCCTGACGCGGGGCTCGAACTCCCGGACCGCGAGATCGTGACCTGGTTGAAGTCGGACGCTTAACCGACTGCGCCACCCAGGCGCCCCAAAAGTATTTTTTTTTAAATGATTTATTTATTTTTGAGAGAGCACAAGTGGGGAAGGGGCAGGGATAGGGGGACAGAGGATCTGAAGTGGGCCATGTGCTGATAGCATTGAGCCCGATGTCGGGCCTGAACTCACGAACTGTGAGATCATGACCTGAGCCAAAGTTGAGGGCTCAACTGACTGAGCCACCCAGGCACCCCCATACTTTGTCTTTTTAAATCTGCCTTTCTAAATCCTTTTTTTTTTTTTTTTAAGTTTTAAAGCCTATACTACATTAGTAAACACAAGCAGAAAAGGAATGAGTATCTCATTTGTTCTACAAACATCTTGGAACTCTTTGCAGCATTAGACCAGGCATAATTCTTATATAGAGCAGAGAACGTCTGTAGCATTCTTAGAGCAAAGAAAGTCTGTAGCATTCTTAATGGAAAGGAAAAAAAAAAACAAAACACAAAAGTCCTGTTTTCTAATTTCTGTCTTCCCATGTACGATAAGGGATTGGGCAATAGCAGTAACACATACAATTCATAGAACATTGAATATTTTCAAGTAGCTTTAGATAGGCTTATTTTCATTGGCTTCTCACAGGACCATCATGGTGCAATGCTCACCCTTTCACACATGAAGAAAACAAGGCATAGAAAAATTAGACTGATTTTGCACAGGGTCCCATACCTAGTAATTGGGAAGGAGAACGTTGTCAGGACTTTTAGGTTCTTATCTGATTTTCTCTCCATTATATCGTGCCCAGGAACTCTCAATTCAAGATCAGTTTCTCTGTGATTAGTTGCATTCCTGTGTCTCTGGAATGTGTCTTGGGGAACCCAGAGAAAGGTGTGAGGAGGGAGAGGGAGGAGCAGTCATCACCGTCCCCACTGCACATATAGTCACATAAAGTCATCCCGGGTGCCAACATTAAAACCTGGAACACAATGCAGATCTCTGGGACGTCCAGGGTATAGCTCCTCATGCTACATCCTGGTGCAAGACAGTGGCTCAGAGCAGACTTACCTTGTCCACACGCCAACTTCTGGCAGGTATGGTTGGTGGGCACTAGGAAGTAGCCTCCCGTGCATCGTACACAGATGTGTGCGTTGTGGCAAAGCTCACAGTTGTCAGGGCAGGGCAGGCAGGTGTGCCCCTCAGCAGGGTAGTAGCCTGCTGGGCAGCTCTCCCAACACTCCCCCTGATACAGGAAGCGCTCCTGGCCATGCTTATCTGAACAGACAGAGGGGCAAGAAAAAGAAAGAAAATGTACGAAATTAACCAGGAAGCTAATATAACCTAAGATATATATATATATTTTTTAAATGATGTAACTGAGTATTTTGGCTCCTCGGGGACCAGGAGTATATAAGAATTCATTTAATGAAAAGTACAATATCTATATCCTTATAGTAGAAGACTTTTCATCGTGGGGAATAATTTTTCAACATTTTGTGTATTTGAGCCAATAGGGACTATTCCCTGGGATGTCACTGCAAAAGCAGAAACCACAATCCGCGGATAACTATGAGTCAGAGTGTGTTTCATCTTCCCAAGGGCTCCTTTTGGTATCTGTGCAAGCTGTCAGACTTGGGGGCAATAGAGATCCTGTGACAATAAACAAATGCTTACCGATAGAACCATTTTTGGAAGAGGGCAGTCTTTTAGAAAGAGTCTGAATTCTGCTGTCAAAATCACACGCTTGTGTTAACTGTCTAAAGTCTGAATTTTTGCAGAGGTACCAACTCCTATGAAGACAGTGTATTAAAGTGCTAGACCAAGCACAGCTTTTTGGTTCCTTGAATGGATTTTTGAAAGTCCTGAGCTTCTGACAACATTGGAGTCTACATGGAAAAAATAACCGTACGTCTAGTATAAGACTATGGGAATTTGGTTTGGGAGGGAATAGAAAATTCAAACCAATTATAAACTCACAGTTAACAAAAAAATCATTATAATAAGTGTGTGTGTGTGTGTGTGTGTGTGTGTGTGTGTGTGTATGACAAAATTAATATAGATGCTCCTAGAGGTCTCCTGCCCTCACCCTACTGGAGTCTTTGTTTGCACTGAGTGTGTTTAGGCTATCGATCTTCTCTGAATCACGTCTCCTATATGCTCCTGCCTCTACAGAACGGCTGACCTGTGTTACCCAAAATAGCCGGAGTCAGGTGTTCACTTGTGATCTACCACATGAAGATCCAGAACCATTGACCTTCAAGGTGCGAGGCTGCTGAAATCTGTGGATGAAGATAGCGCTAACTCCATGTTGCACATGCAGAATCTTAACATCAGTATAATGGATTGGACCACGTGAAATTGCAAACATTCACCTATTTTTGTGTCCGTACACTTGGCACTTTCAAATGATCTGACGTCATGTTTTGTCCTCAATTAAATCCCTAGTTCAAATCCAACTTAAAAATCACGCCCTTGGATCCTGGGCTCTTCTCTGTTTGTGATTTCATGCCAGGAGTCTGCTGGTTCCCATGGGGCAAAGAAGATAAAGAGAACTGCCATAGGGGTGGTGCACACAAGTTGCTGCCCTCTACAACTTTGAGTTGGGGGAACGTTATCCTTTAAGGGAAGGAGAATGTTTGGGAGGATATGATGTGCATTTGGTGATTCTACAGCTACACGTCAAAATGGAGCACAAACCCCCGATCTGGTGGAACATGGACTCTTGAGACCACAAAAGGGTCAACCTTCCAAGCCATGTTCTTCTCAGACACATTATGAAACCCTAGTAAACCCCATGCCCACCAAGATTCATTCAGAAAACATCCTGTTTTTCGGAGGGCCAAACTTCTCAGATATAGGTAGGAAGATTTGAAGAGAACAGTGAAAAGTATGGTATTGGCACAAAAACAGACACATAGGCCAATGGAATAGAATAGAGAACCCAGAATTGGACCCAAAAATGTATGGCCAACTCATCTTTGACAAAACAGGAAAGAGTATCCAATGGAAAAAAGACAGTCTCTTTAGCAAATGGTGCTGGGAGAACTGGACAGCAACATGCAGAAGAATGAACCTAGACCATTTTCTTACACCATACACAAAAATAAACTCAAAATGAAGGAAAGACCTAAATGTGAGACAGGAAGCTGTCAAAACCCTAGAGGAGAAAACAGGCAACAACCTCTTTGACCTCAGCTACAGCCATTTCTTACTCGACACATCTCCAAAGGCAAGGGAATTCAAAGCAAAAATGAACTATTGGGACCCCATCAAGATAAAAAGCTTCTGCACTGCAAAGGAAACAATCAACGAAACTAAAAGGCAACTGACGGAATGGAAAAAGATATTTGCAAATGACATATCAGATAAGGGTTAGTATCCAAAACCTGTAAAGAACTTACCAAACTCCACACCCGAAACACATAATCCAGTGAAGAAATGGACAGAAGACATGAATAGACACTTTTCCAAAGAAGACATCTAGATGGTCAACAGACACATGAAAAGATGCTCAACATCACTCACCATCAGGGAAATACAAATCAAAACTACAATGAGATACCACCTCACACCTGTCAGGATGACTAAAATTAACAACACAAGAGACAACAGGTGTTGGAGAGGATGTGGAGAAAGGGGAACCCGCTGGCACTGTTGGTGCCAGGCAGGCAAACTGGTGCAGCTGCTCTGGAAAAGAGTGTGGAGGATCCTCAAAAAATTAAAACTAAAACTACCCTATGACCCAGCAATAGCACTCCTAGGAATTTACCCAAGGGATTACAGGAGTGCTGATGCAGAGGGGCACTTGTACCCCAGTGTTTATAGCAGCGCTTTCAACAATAGCCCAGTTAGGGAAAGAGCCTAAATGTCCATCAACTGATGAATGGATAAAAAAAGATGTGGTTTATATATACGATGGAATACTACTTGGCAATGAGAAAGAAGGAAATCCTGCCATTTGCCGCAACGTGGATGGAACTGGAAAGTATTATGCTGAGTGAAATAAGTCAGTCAGAGAAAGACAGATACCGTATGTTTTCACTCATATGTGGATCCTGAGAAACTTAACAGAAGTCCATGGGGGAAAGGAAGGGGAAAAACGAGGTACAAACAGAGAGGGAGGCAAACCACGAGACTCTTAAATACAGAGAACAAACTGAGGTTGGACGGGGGTTGGGGGGAGAGGAAAAATGGGTGATGGACATTGAGGAGGGCACTTGCTGGGATGAGCACTGGGTGTTGTATGGAAGCCACTTTGACAATAAATTATATTTTAAAAAATGAAGAGAACAGTGAGAAGCTCCTCCCTCTTCCATCCGGCAATTGCTGTACGTTCCCTACATCCTCACGCGACATCCCCCCCGGATCCAGAGGCTTGGCGACAGCCGGGCATATAATGAATTCTAAATACGTATTTGTTGAATGAATGAATGAATGAATGAATGAGTGGCTAAGTGCATGAATATTTAGCAGTAGCCCTACTCTACATACCGATCTGGATCAGCAACCTAAAACTAAAAAGTAACCATGATGGGCTCAGATATCAGAAGCGATGTTCTCCCATCCCATTTGTATTGTTCAGACATGGCTTTATTATTTGAACCACTTTGGGTATTACAATTTGAGTTTGAAAAACAGACTTGGATGGTCTTGGGATTTAAAGTACATGGACCCTGTAAAGGAGTTCACATAGATGCCTGGATCCTGGGCAGCTCTCCCCACAGGTCTGGTCCAGGGTTACACCAAGATTTGCTCACATTTCTAATAGCCTGGGTCGTATGGCAGCTCATTTAGCTCTGGCTGATAATTTGGATATCCCGTTGATCTAAATACCACGCATAAATGGCTGGCTACTTGCTCAGAGTCTCAGAATTTAAATTATTGTAATGATATATAAGAGAAGCTCGTTCTAACAGTAGAAGGGATATTTTTGCTGGGTGCTACACCTCATGTGATCATATGAAACAAGATATAAAGTGCAAGAAACTCTGAGAGGGGTTCCGATTGGCTTTCGTTTACACGTGAGAGCAATTCGCTATTTCCGGAGCATCTCTTACGGCTAAATTTCGTCACAAGAGAAGATAGACTAATGTGAAGATACCACATGTCTTCGGGAAGAAAGGAAGGTTGAAGGCGGAAGGCAAGAGGGGGAGAAAAGGATTGCAGGAAAGGATGAAAGAAAGGCCAAGGGACCCTGAAAATAAACCGTGTGAAGTCCACTTCAACGTGTTTCTTACTGTAGCTGCTGGGGTGGGGGGGTCGATTTTAGCTTTGCGTTGGTTCAGTTTGGTAGAGAACAAATCTGGAAAAGAACTTAGAGTGAATCTTCACCAACAGAGCGGAGCTGGCGGTTGGCACCTCCAAAAGGATTCAGACCTAAATTCTTAACAGCGTTACAATTGCACAAAGGTGAGATTTCTCCAGACTGATGGGAAACGCTGATGGTGTGTAGATGGGACTCCCTAGTCAGAGGGTTTCAGGGTTTTATTAAAGCCTGCGGATACGGAACTGCGTCTGTCCAATCATCCCTTGTTGTGAGCACTGTTTCACCTGCTGGCTGTGCTAATACAAGTATGAGGGACACCGTGCTCTTAAGAGGAGAGAACCCTCCTAATCAGAGCTTGCTCAACAGTACCCTCTCCAGCAAGCCTTTTCTGCTGGCTCATAGCTGAAAGTGATGCTTCTTCTCTGACTTGTGGTAGGATGCCTTCCTTCGTTTGGTCTTTAGTATATTCTCGTTTTACAATACCTAACCACAACCCCCTCTGTTAGAGCGTCCACTCCTTGAGGGCAGGCGTCATACAGTCTTTTAGTGCATTTTCCACGGCAGCTCTGTGTAGCCACCTGTACGTGCGAGAGTTACGGTGCAATTTTGTGAAGACTGGAGCAAATCGACTTTTAGACAAAAAATGCAGAGGAGACATCAAAGCGTTTTATGTGTGGATCGGTCCACGTAATTACGAGATGCTGCAAACATTTCAGACATTTGTTCAGTATTCAAGTGAATCCTTAATTTTGTACTATGCGTGAAGATTTAGTAGGTTTCAAGTGTGCAAGGGATTTTGGATGCCGTCTTGTCTATGTGTCCCCTCTCCTTTTCTTTTCTTTTCTTTTCTTTTTTCTTTTCTTTTCTCTTCTCTTTGTTTCCTTTCCTTTCCTTTCCTTTTCTTTTCTTTTCTTTTTCTTTCTTTCCTCTTTTCTTTTTCTTTTCTTTTCCTTTCCTTTTCTTTCCTCTTTTCTTTTTCTTTTCTTTTCTTTTTTCTTTTCTTTTCTTTTCTTTTCTTTTCTTTTCTTTTCTTTTCTTTTCCTTTCCTTTCCTTTCCCTTCCCTTCCCTTCCCTTCCCTTCCCTTCCCTTCCCTTCCCTTCC